ATTAAATGAGTAGATGTAAAATATGATTGAAGCACAAGGCTTGTATTGAGTCAGAAATAGAGTGAGGTTTTCCTTTCAGTGTCCTATCACATAGGAATGTACTGTTGCTGATATAAATGTGATAAATTGCCTATGAATAATAAAAAAAAGTTTCACCTCTTTATGAATCACTATGTAATAACTGAATTCTATAGAACTCTTTTGATGACTCTCATCTGCTTTTATTACTGCTTTTTAGATATAGTTCATGCCTGAATGTTCCTCAAAGCAGGGGTTTTTTTCTGCTTTTGTTCTTAAGTGTGCTCATGCAATTGTTATGGAAAGTAGTAAATACCTCTTTAGACTAAATGTGAATTAATATACCATTGATTAACAACTTTGAATTGATTTGGATGTACTTATTCTGCATGATTTTGTGTGTAAGTCTTTATAGCAAGTTATGCTCACATGTTAAATCGTTTGCTGGTCAAAAGGTACGGGGCTAGCAAGCTCCCACCAGCAGCAGACTTGAAGAAAGAAACTGATTGTTCTGTGGCAATTCTTGTCTTTTACAGTGTGTTTCAAGCTTGTCAGAGCAGAATGCTGTGTCCACTTTGGTACCTTTTTAATTGCCAGTCACTGGCATTCACTTCTCCCTGCTCCAGCTTCTCTTGTGCTGGATCTGCCTGGCACAAGGAGCTCAAACCAAGAGGTTTTGTAGCACTGCTACGTACGTATGCAGTTTGTGGGGAGTGGGGCTGTGGCTGAGCCTCATCCCCAACGGGTGCAGCTGTGAGCAGCAGGTGAGCAGCACTGACAGCAATGAGCCCTGGAGGGCCCAGGGCACTGACCAACCACCAAAGGGAGCAGAGGGCACACAGGTGCAATGCATCAATGAGAGGGTATAAAAGGCTGGGCTGGAGAACAAGGGCAGACACTTGCAGCCTTCTGATGTGGAATGGTGTTACTGTGTATGGGCAGATGGCTGAAGCCCTCTGATGAGGTATGGTGTTACTCTGTATGGGGGAATGCTTAAAGCCTTCTGAAATTGTGTGGTGACACTCCGTGTGTTGTGGCCGTCTCAACTGTGGCACGTGCTGCAACATTACTCCATATAAGCTAAAGGGGAAGGTGTACTTGGCAGGTAGGACGTTTCTCTATGTGCTCACCTGCTGTAATCTGAAGATGTACATCTTCCCTGGGTGAGAAAAGTCTTGCTGTTCATGTGGTTGTTGAGGGATTAGTTTAATTCCAAGATGGTTAAACTAATATAAAATGAGAATACTTCTAAATGAGATTCCAAATGGGCAACTTAGTTAAAAGGCTAATAAAATGTAAAAATCAATAAATAGTTTTGATATAGTCAGGATGAGGTTCTTTTGAAAGTCCCCTCTCTACTCCAAGAGGCCACTCTTCCCTTGTGGGCAAGGGACAGAGAGGAGTGTCATTCATTTTTCCTCTTCAGTCTGCCCAAATCTCATAGGTATGTTCATTCTTTTCACTTTAAATTCTTTCTTTATGCTGTTTTCTATCCTGGAAATGGTCTGTCCATTTAACTAGAATAAACATTGCTTCCGTCTCTTACAAATTCATGTACCTGTCTATTAGAGCGATGCATAATTTCCATTTGCCTTACCAGTAAATAGCTACTTGCTGCATCTGTACCAGCACATTGCAGGTCTTATATTGCACTTGGCATTCCACATTCTGTGGTATGTGAGCAATTTGTGATAGAACTGTTCAAAAAGAATAAAATGTAGCTCATTACTTGACTGGATATGATAATAGTTAATTGCTGGTACTGATCTCTTCTTTCTTCAAAGCAGGCAGACCTCCAATAGTCACACAGTCTCTGTGCAGGTTCTGTTGTCATTAGTTATGAAAAGCAATTATTTTGTAGGACATGGACTTTAAAAATGAGACTAAATTCTTACAGTTCATGCTGTAATCTCCCATAGTTTGGTTTGCTTTTCTGACTTGATGAAACATTATTTTATATTATTTTGGAGGAAAGGGACCAAGTTTTGTGACTGAGATGGCAGCAACACGGAGGGGGGGAGGGGATGTGAGGGGAATGCACCACACAGGGGCTCAGGACAGGCTTGTTGCTGCTCGGGCTGGGGAGGAGATGGGAGAGCTCTGAGCTGGGAGGGCCTCCCCCAAGCTTGGGGGACTGACACTGACCATGGGGCTAGCTGTGGGCATGGGGAGCTCTATGGGCCTGCAGTACTGCTAGACTGAGGATGGACCTGTTCATACCCGTGTTTTGGAATTGTGCCTAGGCTCGTTATCTAGCACTCCAGTTGCAGCTGCTTGCAGGAGCTTTTAATCTGAAGGTTTCTTTTATTTAGGAAAAAAAAATACAGATATTTTAGACCATAATAAAAAATTGCTTTAATGTGAAGAAATTACTGTTAAATTTTTAAATTACATCAACTCTACCAAAATCTTTCCAGTACTCACAGTTCTGTGATTTTTTTTGTCTAGCAAACATTACTGGCCTAATTTTCTCAGTTGTGTTGGTATTTCACTTTTTGCTGGATTCTGGTTTGCAAAAAGGGTCCCTTGTTGTTGTAGCAAAGTTCTAGCTCTGCTCTCTGCCTGCAGCCTGAAGTGTGTAAAAATCTGCTCTGCTGGGTCACAGTCCTCCTTCTAGCTGTCTAGCTGCAGCCTTATCTCTCGTATAGGTCACTACGTTCGTACAAAATTTTCTAATTTGATGCTTTTGTTTTGGTCCTCTTTAGAAACACAATCTTCTGATTGTTCTTCTTATGCTAGTAATGTCCTTTGTTGTCTCTTTTGCTAGTGAAGTCTTTGTTTCACCTTTCTTTTGTCAGAGAGGTCAGAGTGACCAGACATGTCTTCACTTCTGTTCTTGCCTTGAGTTTCTTTCCCTTGGCTTTCACTGTACCAGGGTTAAAAGGTCTGCAGTGCTACCTAGTTTGGCTTCTGTAGCTGTCTGATCTCTGACATTCTTCCACAGGGGGACAGTCACAAGGGTGATATATATATATATATATATGTATGTATATGTGTGTATATATATATATATGTATATTATTTATAATTTTAATTAATATTTTAGCAATAGAAGTAGGAAATGAGAGAAAACAAAGAATTCTGTTGCAGGTATTGCTAATAACATGGAGAACTAAGGCAATCCTTTCTTAACTCACACATTGAATTAAATCTGGTTCTTGACTCACAACAGTAGTTAACTCTATTAAGTGAGAATATTAAAAGTAAACAAAGAGAACAACTAAGCTTTGAGACAGAAACTGTTTGTTTTGCATTCTGGCATATCAACATGTTCCAGAACATCCCCTAACAAATCTAGAAGAAATAAAATCCCTAAATTGTCCAAGTTTTATGATGTGAATGAATACTACTGAGTAATATTGGAAAAAAACACATATTATGTGACTTATTACCTATTATATGTTTTTCAATGTGTACAAAAAATAAAATTATATCATGTCTCCTATGTTTAAGAAGACTCCTTGTGTAGAATATGACCATTTCAAATGGACAAAATGTGTTTTCACTTTGGAATTTGTTTCTAGGTTTTCTTGTAGTGAAAAATATAAGTAGAAGAGTTTTATGTCATTGCTTCACTGCTGAGCAATTTATGACTTTTATTTAATCTTATCATGCAACTTTGCCAACACTTGCCCAAACTTCTGCTGGTCTAAACTTGTTTGCTGTCTTTTATCCAAAGGTCTCCTACTAAAATCTACTTTTTCCCCATTTTGATCTGGAGGCCATATGAAATGAAACCTGTGCTTTCCTGAAATGAAACTTTCTTGATAAACCTGCAAATAAGGTTTATGTTGCAGGATATGCGTCTCATCTTCAGTATTAACTCTCAGCTTTTCTGTAATATGAAATGTGTGAAATGCTGGTAGGATTTAAAACAAAACAAAATTTTACTTAAGGAATCATAGAATTTGCCTATGGAGAAGGAGGAAAACTGAGCACTAGTTGAAACTAAGGTGTTTTTATGAGTGAAAATACATGTTTACTTTGGACTAGTATTATAATCTGGAGTGACAACTTTTTACCTTCATATTTCTCCTACAGTTATAGGATCTCAATAGCTAAGGGCATGTGGACATGTTTTATTCATTCCACTGTGGCATGTGAGGCGTCACATAAAGAATTGAGAGATAACTTCTAATTTAGAAAGCATCTCTGGACTTAACTATTTTCATGAATCCTAAAGACCTGACATTGTCAATATGTAATACAATTGATGTGTGTTGTTATTTCATTTGCTAGAAATTGATATTTCTAGAGATGGAAGAGAAAATACAAGTAGGATTACCTGTAAGATTTAACAAATCATATGAAAAATTCTTTTTGATTTGGCTTTCTGTTTATTCTAATGCAAACCCTCTTTTTATGTTTTTTATGTCAAAATTAGAATATATTAGTGCAGGAACCTATTTTTGTCCTATTTAATTACTTGCTGTAGCTGATATACGAGAATGAGCATTGGCAACGTGATTGGATCTAAATTTTTCTCGGATCTGATCCATTTGATAAATCCAGAGGAATAAGTGATAATCTGGAGTTACCATTATCTTGGTTTCAATGTATTAAAAAGCCAGCAGAATTATATCTAATGCATGTCTTTTAGTGTTTAGTTCTATTTATTTTGCCAGTTATAAGTGAAAGTGTCCACATTGCAGTAATTTGTGTCTGCTGCTGGAGTATTAGAAAATATTAGAGCCTATTTTTCCATTAGGTTTTTGTTTGTGCATGTTTTGAATTTTTTTCTGTGGTCCCAAGGCAGAATTTGTCACTCATTCTGTGACAGTGTCTCTATAAAGACACAAATTCCACTTGTCCTAAGTTTGTGGTTCTTAGTTTGTGTGGGGAGAGGAGGGAGGAGAGACATAGACCTTATTGTGGGTATATTTCTTATTAATAGTATAAGAAAAGATTATTATTAGCTTTTGCAATTCAAAGTTTATTCTATATTGAATTAATATATTTATGTTGTTTTGACTTCTTAACAGGCAATAACTTCAAGCTGCAGCTTCATGCTTTCACTGAGAACATAGATTCTACTGCCAGGAAGTAACAGTAAGTACTTAGGTGTTATAATTTCTTTTTAATGAAGAAGTTTTTTTTTTAAGTGCTTGATGTTTACTTTAAATGTGCTCCAGGAAGCTATTATGACTACCCACTATATTGCCAGTGCTGAAATATGCAAGTAGGTTCTCTCAGTGGATCAGATGGCTCTTGCTCAGAACATTCATTTGTCTTTCACAAGAGGGAAAACCCAATCAGAGTAAAGACTTGTGTTTCAGTTGGCTGTAGTTCCCAGTGTTTTCATTGAGTGGGCATAATTGTGTTTAAGAAACAATTTTTTTAAATTTTAAAAATTATTAGAAAATGAAGTGGGAAGAGTTACTATACTTTAAAGAGAGTTTTATTATATTTTAATGGATAACAGGAGACAAGAAAAGCAGAAAATTATACTTTAGATGAGAACAAGTCAGTGTTCTGAAAGACTGAACAAAGGTGCAAAAGTAGTTCACAATGGGCTATTTTTAGGTTATTGTGTTGGGATTTTGCAGCCAGGGTAAAAATAGGTGGCTGTATGCCATCAACAATAATTTTAAAAAAGACTTCATTGTCTTTCATAAAGACACTGCTCTTCTTAACACTTGTAACAGTCTCCATGCAAAACAATGCAACTGGAAATTGCTGTCCACATTAAGACTTTATGTCCTTTGTAAATGAATTTTGAACACACACCTGCTGTAAAATTGAATATAAAAGTAAATTTATATCAGTTGCTGTGTTTATTACCAAGGGATTGATTTAGGAAGGTTATATCTTTTATTAGCTTCCAGTTTGCTTCGGTTTTCATTAGATACTGAATAAGGATTGTTGGAGGGAGACAGGCAGTCTTGCACTCAGAATCAGTGTGTGCTGCTGCTGGAGGGCGTTTATGACCTCAGGACATCATCGCCTGGGGCAATGTCTGATCAAGATCAGAAGAGCAAGCCCTGTAGTGTTTCAAGGGGTCTGTAACAATCAGTGTCCTTACAAAGCTCTGTTAAGACTAGTTTTGGTTATTTGTTTTTGAATGTAGTATTAAGTTCCTACCTCTTTTGCTAAATTCATCTCTACTTGTGAGTTATCACAAACAATTATGCAATCTTGCACCTCTTCGAGCTGTGGTGCAATGAACTGAGATTGGATTAAATCCTTTAAGAAAGAGATATGCTGAGTATTCTTAAAACAACTTACTTCCAGTGAATTTGGTGTACGTACAAGTTGACGCAAATGTTGAATCATTTCTTCACTATTCTTTTAAGGGGGAGAGTTGGTGACCTTGAAGGGAGAATCAGCTTTAATTTGTAATATGAAGATCATGGGCTGGGTAGGATGCAGCATTTTAGGAAATGCTTTATAACTTTCTTGGTCAATTTCTTTTTATAGGACTTGTTCTTTAGAGCTTTTTATTTACTGCTAGTGGTCTGTTACATTTGAAAGCAGCAGAGTACTTTTGAAGGATTCTGTATAAATATTTACATAAATTCAAACTGCATCCTTCCTGATAATGACAAAAATGTTTAAATTTCTTTCTGATTAGTCTTTTCTGTAGAGGAAAATGGTTCCTCTGCATCACATGATGCTATTTTTTGAAATATGCTGAGGGTGGTCAGCTTTGGGTTTTTTAATTGAAATGAGACTGGGGGTGGAGGAACAGTAAAGTGTCTTCCAAAGAAAACTTGGAATTTGATTTCTAGACAAATGAATAGAAAGTATTAGGCTTTCATTTTAAAGTTTTGTGGCAAACTGTTCTGTTTAGGTTTTACTTTTCCTTGATATCTGCTTTTATTTTTAACTGGTCAACCTGTTTGTCCCCACATGCTGTGATAATATTGAGCCAACACACATCATTTGCTTCTCAACAAAGCAGTGAAGAAATGTCAAAGAAGGTAGTGTCAGCTAGAAGTAGAGATGATAAATTTTTCCAGCAGAGGGCCAAATGAATTTAAAGCCTTCACAGCAGTTGCTTAAGAGACAGTACTTGACCTTGCAAAGAAAGATATATTTTCTGCTTAATCACTTGAAGTTCTCTCAATTGCATAAAAAGGGAGGATTCTATTGCTATCCTAAATATAATATGGAAATGTTTGTTTTGCTATCAGTAAAAAAGTAATTTTTTTTAAAAATCCCATTATGCACTAATATTTTCAGTGACTTTTAAGGAATAAATTCCGATGTCCAACACATAGTGCAAAATAATAAATGGTGAATAAATAGTGAAGCTGTTGTGTCTACTTCTTTACCAATTGTGATGACACCTAAAGGCCCATGTGTACTTTATCCTGGAAGCTCAGCTGTTCGAACACATGTTGTTTAAAAAGCCCTTTTGACAATTGCCCCACTGATTAGGGGTAACTTTTATTTATGTTCTCTGTATCCAGCTATATTTCTTGCCTTTGTAGAAATACCCTATGGCTTGACGATGAAGAACAGCAGGGAGCCCATTATCTGGGCATCTCTATAGATGACTGTTCTTATGCATACTCATTGCTTCCCTGGAGAAGATTTATTACTAGATAGGATTTTGCATTTGCAATAATTTGCACAAAACTAAATAGCTGGTTTTGATTGAAATAGTAGCCTCATATTTAAAAATGAAGGGAGAGTGGGAGACTATACTTTAATCTCATGTCTCTAAAAATCAGTAGGTTTAGGTGCCTTCTTGGAAGTTTGATCAGTAAAACACCTAAAAAAAAAAGAAAAATTTAATGAGAAAAATACCTATATTCCCTGAGAAGGGAAACATTAACATTCAGAATTTGGATAGATAAATAATTTTAAAGGATATAATTTATCATTACTGCAATATGTTAGTCATAATATTTAAATAATATTCTTTATTTTATCTTGCATCTTCTGTGTTTTGAAGTTCTGTCCATTCTGGTGATTCTAATAGTTGTTGGGTTTTGGGGTTGTTTTTTTTTTTTTTTTTGTTGTTTTTTTGATATGTCTGTTTCTCAATTCAGTTTGTCAAAGTTTAGTTTCTTTGTTTGGTTTGCTCATCCTGAGGATGGGGAAATAACTTTTGTGAGATTTTATTTGGTAGTTTTTTTTAAAGTACTGAGTTGTTTACCAATAAGAAATTACAAAGATTATTTCAAGGATGAAGGGCTGCTAATATAAAAGTCATGGCAATTACATGAATGTACTTCTTTACTTCTCTGAACTATTAGGAAATTGAATAATCCATTAGATATTTTCAGAATGCTTTTTTCCTATGTTCCAGAGTAACCTGTGTATCGTGCTTGTACAGTTCAAAAGCCTGGTGATACAGCTAGACCCAGAGTGCAGAAACCTGAGTCCTTAATTAAAATGTTGCTATATTTAAATAAAATCTTCCTCAATTGTAGTAAATTAAGTAATTTTGAGTGCCCTTTTTTTTATTTTCAGATATAAAGTAATTGGTATACTCTAATTCACATAGATGAGAGTTTTGTAAAGCAGTAACTGAGGAAGAGTCTGTCATGCTATTCAACCAGATGAGCTTTGAGATAAGTGTGTGATACTTGTGGATTTGGGGAGTTTAGTCCTTTTTTGCATAAGGAAGCATTGTTGGCATGTAATCCAAATGATGATGACTGTCTGGGAAACCTGCTTTCAAGGGTTGCTTCCACAAATGAGTCATAAGTAAAAGCTCTTCATCTAGCACAGAGCACATTAAGCTGGAAGAACAAACAAAAAAGCTTGTTGGTAGATCAAAGAAAATACAAGCATAAAAGATACTCTTAGAAGATCAGTTGGTCTAAATATCAGAATTGTAGTAATATCTTTCCATCTTATTCTCCTCTGGTTTATTGCTTTCATGTAGACCTTGATTATTTTAGCTGCTGGCATAGTTTCCTTCAAAAAGCTGCTCATTTGCTGCAACTTTAATGGGATGGAGAGCAAAGTGTTAGCAGTCTTAGGAGAACTGAGTTTATGTTCTAATGGGAATGAAATTTTTAGCCAATTCTCTTGTTCTTTGTTCAGCTAACTAGAAAAGTAAACAAACATAGAAGACTGCATCTGGCATGTATAAAACATACAATAGATGTGTACCTATTTGTCCATGTAGAGGTAGATAGATAAGGCATATTATAGCTGCAGAAAGTGAGATAATATCTTTCTGAATACTGAGAGTGTATTTTTACAGATCATTTGCAACATGAATTCTTGTAAGATTGCTAACTTCAAGTATTCTAGATTGCATGGTGGCAAGCTATGGCCTGAAGACTCAATCAGATTTGTCAACCAATTTTTCCTCTTTGCTTTAAAGCTGAACTTCTTTCAAACAGATAAAGAGTGAATGAGAAGAATTGTCCTTACAGCTCGTTCTTCTGTAAGCCTTTTTCACTTTTAATTTGGCTGAAAGGAGGTCCACTCTACAAGCACAGTAGGCCACCATGTAAACACTTTATCTTTTGATGTTCGAAGATACACAAGTTTAACTAGTGGTGCAGCTGCTTCCTGCATGTAACTTGGGCTAGCTTCCTGCCCTGTAGCAGGCACAAATGCCCTATGTAAGAGGACAATTTACTCTTTCAGCAAGCAAATAACCTTTGGGTATTACAGCTGCCCTTCTGGTCACAAAAAAGAAGATGCTCAGACTTGAAGTTTAACTGTGCCTCTGAGGGTGTCTGTGTCCAGGTCTTGGCTGATGCTGAGCAGTCCGTCACTCTATTAACAAGGGAACTTTTTCCTAATTAAGGAAAATGTGATGTTCTGTCATGGGGAAATCTGTGGCAAATATACTGAAGTGAAATATAATAATTTGGCCTTTTTTTTTTTTTCAAATAAGATGGAATTCAGCTATTAAACAGCTTATATATAGCAATAAAAGAAATCTGAATTGGTAACTTAGAGTTGCAGTAGAGATATAGCAGGAGTAAAAAGCACTGGTTACTAAATAAGGTATGTAAATAATAATAAAATAATATTTTATTTTTTGAGATGTTCTTACTCATAGTTTTATACATAAAAGCAATTTTGTATTACAAATCAACTCATTCTGGTTTTGCATAAAATAGCTTCCCCTTGCC